TGATGTTGATAGTATTTAATATTTTCATGAACTAACACGTAATGTACAAGGCAACACATTTTTTAGAGTATTGCAAAAAAAGAGCAACCTGTCAGTCAACTAAAATACACTTTCACGTCACAATTCACACATTCTTCTTTCACATTCACAATTTGCACCTCTTGCTCTGGGCCTTGGCGAGACCAGCGATTTCTCATCTGCCTGTGACAATATGGTAACCATACAGTAGTTTCACAAAGTTAAAGATTTTACACTTTTTTTGGTAAAATTGTGATACCATCAATTTATTTTTTCACAATTTGAGAAATTTGGACTGCAAGTCCACCTCTTAATCTCTTTCAACAGTTTCTCGACTCATTCCATGTACAGTATTTAGGGAGAAGGGATTCCATTAGCCTCAGTCCTTCTGGACAAAGGCTAACAATGTACCTACAATTTCTCTTTTAATTCAATACTCAATAACACGATAATTGCCTGAAGTTTCAGAACCTCTGTATAAAAGTGTGCTCTTCAAATCTGTCATTTAATTCCAAAACCTTTTTTTTTTACAGTAGGAGAATAACAGCAAAGCTGTACTCTTTCAGGATGCCAATTTCAAATTGATGTTATAAGTGTAAAATCCTGGGTTTGGTGAAATGTTTCAGGCATTCATGTGAAGGACAACAGAGCTTTCACTGGCTGATTATCAAACGTTATTGATAAAAACAAAAACAAAAACTAGCCGACCAAGCCAGAAGAAGACAAAGAATCCAAATAACGGACACAGCGCGAGCCTGCATTCTCTCCTCAACCGTCCACACCACACTTTTCCCTGGGTCAGAGATGAAATAAAACTTCACTCGCACCAATCAAATTACCACACACTGAACACTGAACATGTTAACCCAAATATGTCTCACATAAGTATTTTACTTTACAGTATATTTGTCTAAAATGTGGAAGTGTTAAAGAGTTACAAACAAATGAGTAGAGCTCAAAGTAGAGCTGAATTTCACCCTAAAAGTATAAAGAAAAAATGCTGTGGATCCTTTTTCAAGAATTTAAGGGAATGAGAGGAGGTACAGGAATAAACGTAATAATAATAATAATATTAATTGCTTACACTTATATAGTGCTTTTCTGGACACTCCACTCAAAGCGCTTTACAGGTAATGGGGACTCCCCTCCACCACCACCAATGTGCAGCA